GTTATCAACATCTCCAGGGTTCCTGCAGTTCAGATCAGAATGGAACATCAGTGCCCTCTAGTGGTTAATACATAAAAGAAAAAAACATTTCAAACTGGCCTTTTATTAAATGACTAAACTTTGGAGACACTTCAGTATTGTGTAGTGTAAGAGTGAAAGACTGAGAGTAAACCAGAGAGAGGAAATATGAAGAGACCAGACTGTGCAAACATTTCCGTTCTGATATTATCTGCCTTTGTGTGACCCCGGGGTCACAGATGACAAATTCTGGTAAATGTTTGTGCTGGTGATTCTCATTCTGATACCATTACATGCAGCATGCAACTACTCACCAATGCAGTTAAAGTCCTCAGGGCCTTTAGATTCACCTCCATTGTGATGCCCCTGAATGATTCTCAAACTCTTTGTGGGCTGCAATCTTTAACATTCCAACAATGGCAGCTTAACATTTGTCATTAAACACCAGCAAATGTGGGGTTGGTGTGCAACACATACCAATAACAACAACAACAACAACGACACTGTAAGACCTTCTAAACCTCTTACACCCAAAGGGTCTTTAACAACTCATGCTTATAATTACACTAAAAAACTGATGCATTAATTTACTTGATTCAAATGTGTACATCATTTTTACATGCAGCAAATGCAACTGCATACAAAAGATTTTCCAAGTAAAATAAGTTACACTTTCTCTACAGAGAACACACTTCTGTACATTTTAACGAACAATAACCGTTTATGAGCTAAATTTAAAAGGAAAAGGTGGCCTGTGCAAACTTATGGCACATTCTGTATTTTATTTTCTATTTAATGTTTTTTTTAATATGTTAAACTCATATGAATAGAAATTGTACACTAAAAAATTGCAGGAAAATGCCATGTTTAAGTGGTGTGCAAACTTTTGCACATGACTGCAGACGTGTCATATATTAGACAGCAACTTCAGTTTATATCAGTCTTTCAGTTGACCTACACCTAAATAAAGAAAACACAACCAATACTGCAACACCCTTCAGTAAAGCATGCATCAACTTGAAACAGGCACGTTTGCCCAATGAAAATAACATAACTGTGTTAAAATCAGACAGCTGAGACGTAAAAAGATGACGAAAAACAACATAGCAAACTCAAAAAACTAAACCTTACTATCCTAGGCTAAAGCATACTGGTGCAGTGGGCGGTTTCAAAGAACTAAGTTGAAATCAGACAGCTGAGCAACAACATGGAAAACAACTTAAAAGCCTAAATCTAGTCATGGTAGGCTAAAGCATACTCATGTGGTGTGCATAAAAATGTTTATGGTCTGTTTATGTCTTACCTGTGATGAATTGGTGCATCGAATCACTTGATGCACTGAAGTAATGTTAGACTCAAGGACACAGTAAGTACCAAATTTGCAGTTTTTTAAATTTGTTTTTGGATCCAGTTGGGTAGAAAATTACATACTCTGCCGTTCGGAACCTCATTTTTAAATTTCCCCAGTTACGTCATTTAACCACCACTGGAGCTGCAAATTCAAACATCATCGAACTGAAGGCTTGAGGCAGTAGTGGATAGGCAGTTGCTAAGCAGTGATTGGAGATTGGGAAAAGAAGGCGGGAGCTTGGCAAAAAAGCATAATGATTTGATTGGCCATAATACAATGACAACATTGACAGAAATATTCATTATTTAAAGCGAATGTGCTTAATATATATTCTTTCCTGATTTGATTGAGTAAGCCTGTGAACAATCTGGGTAGCCCCAGGCCAACCCTGGCCTAACTGTGGTTTTGCCCCGGTTTAAGGGGATACAAGTTTACAGGGGCACCAAAAGCAAACAAAATACAGGGGACAACAAAGGAATGAAATAAAACTCAGTAAAATTGAACTGATAAATAAAAGCTAAAAGACACATCTGCTTCTGTTATGGAGAAATCAAACTCAAAACACAAAGGAAAGTGTGTGTGATCCGTTACAGTGTGGTTTTCATGTGAGGGTGAATCACTGTTCACATGTGAACAGAGCAGAGAAACAGGGCACTGCTATATATTCTCTTTCCATATATTCTCAGGTGGGAGCAAAAAGGAGGTTTCTGGTTCAGACAGTAAAAGTAGACCGGCCACAAGTGCTGGTCACCTCAGTGATCATCCTCACCCGGGTAGTGTGATTCTATCTGCTGATCTTAGGGCAGCTGAGGAGCCGATTCTGTTGTTTATTTTATCCTTTATTTTCCATATAAAAGAGATTAACAATCATATCAACAATCAGAAAGTAACAGTAACAGTAACTGAAGAAGGAAAGAGAGGGTTTCATTTTCGGATGCTGCAGTTTTGTTGTGTATTGGATATTTGTATTTTGCTTATCATTATGATGCAATGTAATGTTTTTTAAGGGTTTGATTTGTTTTCAGTGCTTAAACTGTGTTTATTTAAGAATAAAAATTCCCTGCTTCCAAAGAATGTGTGTAGGCCATTCCTGTTCTACCTTTATTTCAATAGCTTTTGTAAGAACCACAATGCAAAATAATGTTATTATGTTCATTAGATGGTAAAGTCTCTCTCCATAATTTATCAATGACAGGTTATAACATCAGTAACTATGGCTGGCTATTTGGGGAATTGTAAGAGCAGACTCTTATTGGTGGACAGGACCAATTGACCTGACTGGCTGATAAATTCACATCACTACGAACTGCAGTGCTACTCACTCAACTGAAAAAGGACCATTAGAAACCATTGGGGTTGTTGCTTTCCAATGCGAATTGGCTTAATAGTTTCAAATAGAGACCTTCAGTTTCCTGTAGAACACCTTTAGATCCCATTAGAAAACCATCAAATGCATTTAGAATCAACCACTGGTCTCCTGTTAAACCATTAGGATCCTTTACATTGTGATATCAACCCATTAAAAATTGAAATTAAAGCAGCACTATGTAAGATTTTTTTGTTAAAATTATAAGAAGTAGAATTGCTGAGTCAGGAGGAAGAAAAACAATGTCAGAGGCGTCAAAGAGAAAGCCCAGCTTGATGTTAAAAGGAATGCAAAATTTGACACTATACTGATGATGACAATAGAAGATAATTCACAACCTCAGAAGACACGTTCTTCACTAAGTTTTGACTGAGTTCTCTTTCGATACACTTTCAACACACTGGCAATCATCAGAGTCATCCGCTTGTAGGGGTCTGAAACACAACTGATGTCACCAAATGTTCTTCTGCACGTTGCGTGCAGTTACACATTTCCACCAGAGAGGTCTCCAAATCCCCAAGACTTACACAGTGCAGCTTTAAGCAAAATTAAATGGATACTTCACCCAAAAATGCTAAAGTGGCTGATAATGTCCGCTAATAATGACTAAAGAAGCAGTTGAATAATATTAACTGAACAAGTAGTTGAAAAATAATTTATATTAGTGGAATAATATTAGGTTATAGATTCTTCTCTCTATAATCTTTGTATTGGTTTGGCTTCCAATGTTTGTCCCTCTGGAGCAGAAGAGCATCTGTTAAATGAATAACAGTAAATGTACATGAAATGAAAGCCAATGTGTATAATTCTAATGAAAAATCATTACACATGTATGGCTACATCAATTCCATGCTAGTTTAAGCTGGTTTATGCTGGTTTATGCTTGTCTCAAGCTGGATTAGCTGGAGCATGCAAGCATCCAAAACATGAGCGTCTCCAAAATGGTAACCTTATAGGAGACGCAAAAACGTTTTCACCTTCAATGTATATCAAAGTAAAGAGATTTTTCCCCCAAAGTGATTTTATAGCATTTCTATTGGTCCATTCATCATGTAATTTTGACACAATGTAAAGGACAGCTGCTGTGCTCAAATAGGGCAGAAAATTAAAAAGAGAGGCATGTTTTTTTTGGACAGTGACAATATGTTGGTTTTGGTGGTGACCTGCATAACGGCTTTAATTGCCACTGACCAGCATAGTAGCATTCAAAACCCAGCATTTGCAGTGCTAGTTTTTTCAACAGGGTAAAGGACTTTTAACAAACCCTACTTGTAAGGGTGTGTTAGAGCAGGGAGAACACTACAACGTGCTGGGCAGTGGTACTCCAGACCCTGGAGTTGGGTATCACTCTACTAGGCTTTCCACTTTTCTCATTCACAACACATGTTCATCCCTTTTCTACCACAAACCCCAGATGGCCTGGTTGCCTAAACCAAATGAAGCCATTTTCACAAGATGATCCCTTTAAGACGGCTGTTCTCTGAAGTACTCTTGTCCTGCTTATTTTGGGATTTTCTCTGCTCTAATACATTTGCTGGGTCTGTATCCTTCTCAGGTAGGAGTAGGAGTGCTCAACTAGGGTCTCTTCCTGTCAGTAAGGGAAATATCTGACTCTAAAACCAGAGCCATTTTCTGCTGTAAGCATTTTAGGTTTAGAGAAGAAGTCCCTAAACCTCCAGGGGGCCCTGGCAAAAATAGTTTGCCAGAAAAGCATAGAGTCCATTCATTTTTATCACATCTTTCATCAAAATTAATTAGGTATTCATTCTTGCTCTATTAAAAAAGGGATGAGGGGGTTGCACCCCTACTTAAGAACCCTTTATGAATACAGGCCCAGATCCACCAAGAAGCTCAGTAACAGGTTTGCTGGTTAGAAACCACTGCCTTTGAGTGTTTTGCTTTCTCCAGTCATCCACATCATCTTTGGTTAAGTTACGGTGTGGAGGTTCTTGCCTTTTGTTCCCTTCTTCCACTAGAAAACCTTTTGATAAGCACAAGCATAATGTTAGAGTTAGGTTATGTGATGAGAGCAAGAAGGAGGATACTGTAGTCTTTTTGTGCAAGTCACTTATCTTCAAGTGTCCCGGAAGGATTTTCTCACAGGCAAACTTTACTTAAGATGTCTTACAGAACCAGGAATGTCATCATTCATCAATAACAACATGGTCTGTAAAGAGACAGAACCACATGAATGGATGCTATGAAGATGGCAGTTGGCAGTTAGACTCAAAACATTATGATGACCACGTCAAGACACAACAACGGTTTGGAAAAACTTGCAATAAAATTTATTGTACCTCACAATCATAGACTCAAACACGTGCAACATTGTACTAGAACAGTATACCAAGACGGCCGAATATATTTACATTGTCCTCTATATAACAAAATAGCAATACTGTTTAACTTCGCTGTATACTGTATACGACCTTCATCTTCTGTAATCCTGAAAGGGGTTGAAACTCTCCGTCAATAACCATACAGTCACCTAAACAGCATGTGTCATAACATCCAATAGCCCTCTTGCGACATTTGCTATAGGATTAGCAAAATCACCCTGCAAGCTTACTCAGGAGAACTTCTGTGTTTCATGTGTCAGCCTCTCCGATAAGGAGATAAAGTGCTTTCTAGGAGAGTAAGTACAACTGGCTCACTATAAAGAGCCTTGAAATGACACAAGGTTTCAAATCTGGCATCTTGGAAGAGGATTGATATGTAGAGGACTGAAGTAGCCTAAGTGCCAAAAGGTCAGCTATGGTAGAGTAGCAAACACACTAACATTCAAGCGAGGAAAGGCAAAGGGGTGGCCTAAAAAGGGGACAGTACTGCACCCCAAACCAAGAGTTTCTGGTTTTTCTTCATTAACAGAGGAAAACTTTCTTTCCTGGGCTTCTCAGGCCCACCCGAATAGTATTTCTGAAAAAAAGCGGAGAAAAGGTTTTGCATTAAAGGCTAAAAGGCTAACACCTCATAACGTTAAACCCTCCATGGTCCAGTAACGTCTGCAACACTGAGAAGACTGTGTTTAGATCGCTGCAGCTTAAAGCACGCTGCAGATATGCTTAGAGGAAATACCAGAGCACTGGGTGGAGGTAAAGCTTAGAGTATTATGGGTAGTGTATGCTTAACATAACAGTCCCTGCTGTAATTAAAATGTCCATGTAGAGACCTAACAGCACCGGGATGCACCAAAACCATTAAAAGAAAGATAATAAAATACAATAAACACTGGAATAAAGCATGTCAATGTAAATGCTACAAATTCATCCCAAACTCATACTGGCTGTGCACACACAAGGCTGGTTAGATAAAGAGGATTCAGTTTTGTAAATTAATCCAAGACGTCTGTAAAACCAGGCCATAGAGTAACACAAAACAGCCTAAATTCTATGATCGTGAATTTTTCCATCAGAAATGATTGTGGTTTGCAGTAACTATTGAAAATAAATGACAGAATTAGCACCACAATAAAAAAAAAACGGAATATTTAAACTGTATATCACATTTAGATGGAGAGTCCCTCTATAAAGCTGGTTTTATATCAAACATAAGCTAAAGAGTCATCAGACATGAGACGTGACTAAACAGCCGGATCTATAGTGACAGATCACAATGGCTTGTGCTTGTTAACTTACTCCAAATTAAGCTCTGTATATCATCAATTCCAAGTCCACAACACACACTCACACATGTAACTGATCTAAAACAATACATACAAAATAAATACGTAAACGCTCTGGTCTGTCTTATATACATATATGGCCAGATGTACACAAAATCAATGAGGAAAACACACACAATACACAAAAAGCTCTTGGAAGGAAGGGTGTAAAGTAAAACACCTGCTTTGGTTAGTATTCTGAAACATTCTAATGTGCAACTGAACGCCCTCCGCTGTCAGGAATAGGGATTATGTGTGTGCTTATCATTTGGCAAGTTCTTCCAAGTCAAAGGGAAAACAAATAAACACAGAGAAATGAATTTACATTCACGCTTATGATTAAATACCTACTGCAAGCAGGGATAAGGACACGTCTGCAACAACAGGACCTCATTCACATTCACTCTCCACATGTAGGTGTCCTCAAAAGATAAGAGTACACAGACACAAAACAGACACATAAATGATGTGAACTTTGAAAGGAAAAACACCTAAAATTAAAATAAAATTAAAATGATGGGTGAGTAAATAAACATATTCAAACAAAAGCAGGGGGGGGGAAGAACTAAAGGTCTCTAAATTTCTCTATTTCTCCTAATTTCTTACTGAATGTAAACAGGGTCGGCTATTTTCCTTGATTTTTATTCGTTTTTTAGAAAAATAAACTTTGATATTAAAATAAAAGTCCTTCATTAGACTTTCACTCTCCTATATGCAATGTGCAATAAAAAGTGATTTGCGATTTGACGTTTTCTGTGCACACCGAAACCGTTCACACCAGACATTCACACTGAATTATCACACCACTAACACGCTCTTGTATCAAAAAAGAATATGGGCAAGTTACGAATATATATGAATATATTTGGCAAAGTGCCTTAATCTGACTTGTGTGTAAAGGAGACTTTCAGCAGCTCTAACGATTCTCCTATGAGGACACTTTGGGAAGAAACAACAGACGGCTCGATCTACTGCTCTTGCTGACGTCCTCAAACATGAACTAAGACATTCAACACAACTGCTGCCCATCCTCACACTGAGAAGAGACTTGTTTTTCATGCATGGCACAACAGGATGAATGCCGGGAAAAGTCGCCTTTACTAGCTCAAGTGGCACTTCAGAGGACACGAAGCCTACGGCAAATGTTCACATTGACTACAGAGAATTTGGAAGGGGCGCACTCTTCAAAATAAAGGTCCCTAAACGGTTCTTGGCTTGCACGTATGGTATAAGGAAAAACTGTAATTGATACAGAACATTTACATCATGATTACTTATTTGCAAAAATGGTAAATAAAGCAGTGGGTCTGAAATCCGTCCTCGGATGGTCCAGATTAGAGCAAAACCAAACTGAGAACCGCTGCTAGAAAACAAAAAGGCAGAGGTCTTTAAATCTGGACTTTGAATCCATTTTCTGGCCCTGTATTTTGTCTGGAAGTTACCTGGCCTTTTGATGTAACTGACTGGCTTTCAAATGTCATAGAAATATCCAGGGCCAGAAACTGGATTCAAGGTCTGGAAGTGAATACCTCTTGCTCCATGGCAGTGTTTCCCAATTTAGTCCTCAGGCCCCCCATTCCAGATGGTCCACGTTTTTGCTCTAACTTTACTCGCTTGGGAGCCCTAAGGACCAGGTTGGGAACCCCTGTTCTATGGCATAGCTCTAAAAGATCCCTTTTATTAAGAACCTTTATTTTTAAGAGAGTAGACTAGCCGGATGGACTATAAGCTGAACCCAAAGTAACTTTCTTTCAGTTCAACTTTAAATTGAACCCAAATCCCAAGAATCCACTTTAAATTGAACCTAAATCCCAAGTATCCAGCTTCTCAGTACACCCCACTGATGCACCACCAATTACAAGCCAAGTAAAACAGACGTTTCTAGAACAACTCATTTATGTGGCCTAACTAATTAACATTTTATGCCTCACACCAGTCCATGAGTAAATAGTGACTGGATGCGTCTAGTTACCGAAGCATTCAGGCATAGTCTTGGCTGAACTGTTTGTTTCCTCAGATCACTCGACCGGACCTGGTAATGGGGGGAATAAAGAAAGTCTTGATGCTACAGTAAAAGCGCTGGTTATTGCAGCCAAATTTGAAAGATGCTAAAATGGCAGCCAACGTGCAAACTACGAGCACTGGTGACATCTCAAAGGAAAACTTCACACATAACACAGGATTGTATTCCAAACAGGTACTCGTTCATCAGCGCTGGCTGGATTGCACTCAAACTGCCTTTGCCACAGCAAATGCAGTAAGATGTTCACATCTATACATATTTGTATATATAGATTACTAATGTTTCATTCTGGGATATATTTGTGTATGCTGGCAGTGATCCCACAAGGAAATTCAATGTCATTATTTCCAGAGTCCAAAGGGTTGATCCGGTATGGAAAGGGCCAGAAACTGGCTATGTGCTTTTCCCAGTCCAGTAATGCAAAACTAGCGGAGCAGAGAGGACAAGACAAACCTGGTGTGACTACAGTCACAGAGAGCGCAAAGAGAAAAGCAGATTTTTTTTTTTTTGGTAAAGGAATGTTCTGTTTTGGGTAGATGCTGATGAGGCCATGGGGGACAGTAAAGGAGGCTGCACATCTGTGATGCTATATTGCTTATGGTCCTTTTGTAGTGTATTTTCCACCGTGGTCCTGTTCCATATTTGGCTCCATAGGAGCCCCCTCTAGAGCTCTGTCTGTGCTGACCAGGCTTTCCACTCAGGACTTGGCCTCCTCCTGCTCAGCTTCAGCAGAGAATTCCACATCAGACAGGCCCACTTCCACAGGCAGGATGAGCGAAGTGTCCGAGTCGCTGCTCAGAGGTGGCTGGTGCTCACCTGGAGGCAGAAAAAAAAAGAAAAAAAAATGAAAGTGTGACACACAAAAAGCAAAACTGAGTAAAATACTGAAGGGAACTAAAACTCATTTTTCTTGTAGCTTCACTGATCACATTAGTTGTGCCTTTGCACAAAAATTTAACACCAAGTATTGTTTTATTTTTTTTTCCCAATATGCTAATATGTTCAGCAAAAAAAAAAACAGTAATTGTTCATTAAATGTGCGCAAGTGTGTTCTCTGTAGAGGATGTGTTATTTTAATTGGACTTAGTATTTCAACAAAACATGTCATTTGACCAGGTGCGCTGTAACTTTTGCATACCGTATATGAAAATGAGCTGTTTTCACTGGCTGCCTGGTATGGTGCTTCATTCGAAAAGCAGTCATGGCTGAAACACTCATGAGTATCAGAGCTAAACTGAAGGGCGAATAGGACATATAAATGCACAGGTTGTTGTGACATCACAAAAACAATGAATTCAATACAGGCTGTTTTTGCGGTTTACTTTCTGTACATGTATCTTTTGGACTGGGAAGTGAACACTTTGAAACTTTAACAATGTTTATAAAGTACATCAAACTAATTTATTTGTGAGGAAAATTCAGATTTTCAAGATTATAGGAACTTTATGTGAGTTGAACTATGAGTGAAAGTACTCATAATGGCCACATATAGTGGTGATCAAGCAGTTTTAACTACTCTCTATTTTCATTATACTGAGTAAGCGATAGGTGTTCAGCTGAAAGCAAGCCTGAGTTACCTGCTGACTATTTAGTCCATTTGGTTGGCTATTTCAGGACTAGACCTAACATTGGACCTTAATTTGATTACAATGTCACCAATATTATAAATATTAACAAACTGGTAGCAAATACAGACATAGGATCACATCTGATTTTTGCGTTCTCTACTTCAATAAGATTGAATCTGTCATAACTGTGCAAAGTGATTTTGGTCGGCAGTGAACCTCCAACAACTCAGAGCGTTCGTCGCTGGTTCCACAACACTGGATGATCTCCGAAATCGCACTGAAAGAGCTGTGAGTGCAGTGACACCTGACATGCTCAATCGAGTATGGGATGAATCTGACAATGGCGTTGATGTCCGTACAGCTGGAGGAGGTTCATATTGAGCACTCATAAAATTACATAATAAACTTTATGCTCATTTAAACCATTTACAATTTACTGCACTGTTCTGTAATGATTTACAAGTGAAAAAAATCATTTTGAAACAGGATGAATCTTTTTGAATCACCCTGTATAACGATAAAATAATCTGAACAGTCTGAACAGGAAATGGATAATGAGGCCAAGCTGTGCCTTTGCAATGTCCACATCCATTTCTGCTGGAGCCAAAAAAGTTACTGACCTACATCTATGTGACCCAAAATACCAGAGCACAAACAGGACACTGAAGAACAGGAGAACAGGCGGAAATACACAACCTCTGATCAAAAGGATCTGTTAGAGATAGTTTGGCCATAGATGATAACATAATAACAGTTCATTTTAACCAGGTTGAGAAGATCAAGAGATTGTTCAGAGCTTATGATGAGTTCATATCATTTCTTTCTGGATTCTAAAATTAGTAGAGAATTCAGAACTACTAGAACATCCAAAATGAAATAAAAAAAATTGATTTGAAAAAGCTGATTTCAGTAAGCTCTATCCAGGAGAGCGTGCAATACTAAAGTTTATAACAGTTTTAAAGTTTAGGTGAGTAGATGAAAATATCTGCCAACATGGTCTGAACTCACTGACAAATGGAGAACATAATATTTAAGGTACTGGAATAGTACATTGATGATGGTCCCATGTAGAAAATGCAGAATTAAACCACTAGAGGTCAGAAATGAGCTACATTTGCATCCAAAATTTCCACATTTGACAAAAGTAGTTTTGCTCTGAGTAAGACTAAATTATCAGTTTACACAAAACTTTACTCTTTCATGATAAATGTTCAGTGGGTGGTTTCTGGGCTAAATGGATGGAGCTACAGTAACATCACCCACGCAGACCATGTCTTTGATGTGCTATTATCAGCTGAAGCAGACAGAACCCTTACAGAAGCTCTGGGCAAGTAATGCTACGAAGCCTCAGTTATCTTAGGATTACAGGCAAGAACAACACATGTGGTTCCATATCTGTAGCTGTTATCGCAGCAGCTGATTTTTCCATTCCAAGAAACAGAACAAAGACCTGACTGGATATCGTTACCTCACTAGCAAAAAGACCCAATTTACAGAAATACTGAGCAGAGACATACATTCAGGAGACTTAGCTTTGCCTGCATGACAAACTGGCAACTCCCAAAGTGGCTTTATGGCCAATTTCAAGAAAAAAAATCATCTTAACATCCAGTAAGGAGAGACAAACATTCACTCACTGTTATTTTTGTTGGTTAATATACTTCTATTGTAAATATTCACTTCAAACTTTCACCCATAACAGCCCTTATTACTCAAAGTTGTGTACAGTCAAATCTGATCATAAAATGAGCGCATGCAAATTTCACCAACAGTTTTGTTAATCCACTGTTTTGTCTTTGTTTTTTGTACAATCAAGCTCACGTCCGAGGGTAAATATAAGCACAATAGCTTATATTTAGTGGTTAACCAACCAAAACTATTATTAACATCATCTATAATAAACATATTCAGAATGAAAATAACAATAATACTAACAATATGTGTTCAGGGCAATCAAGTATAAAAGTGGATGTACTTATTTTAAACAAATGCTACAGCTGTTCCATTTTCCATTTAAAGACATATTATACTGTGCTTTGTTTTATACTACTGACATCACCCAAAAAAAATAAACAATACAAAACACAGCTAGTACAAAAGCATCTCATGCACTATAATAATAGTGTTATAATACAGAATCACATCATTCCACTGTTTTTCTACTCTTCACATCATTCACCATCATTTTACTGTAAAAAGGGTGTTTTATTTATTTCACCTATCACTCTTTCCAGTCATTGTAATCTGAACACTATAAAGTTTGGCCAGTAGGGGGAGCAGTGAGAGGTGCCCTCACGGCTCCACCTTAATCTACACCTATAAGCCACTGAAAACCATCATTTTATTTGCTCCCTACTGAAACATCTGCATGATTTAGAGCCTGCTTCATGTTAATGATATGTAAATGAGGTACAGGTAGGCTGGTGCTTGATGACGCTGATTCATCATTTGTGCTCCAGTTTCCACTTCGTACAGAAGCTTCATGATTCAGGTACAGAGTAGTCATTAAAGTCAAATCTGTGCTCTTTTTTACACTACTCCATTGTCTTTTGACTTTGTACTTATAAACATGAACAGAAGCAGTATGTATTCATAAGTATAAACATAGATATGTGAAAAAAAAAACTAAATTGATAGGGAAGAAAGTACACAGACACACCAAATTAATAACTTTAGTACTTTGCGGCAAAGCAAATTACAATTAAAGCTTCATTAAGTCTACGATAAGCAGCAATTAGCCTTGTAGATCATTGTGGTTCAATTTTGGCCAATTCCTCTTGGTAAACCAGGTTTCTTCGCCAATGAGCTTAAATTCTACTCTAACGCAATGTCATGGTACATCACACCTTTCACGTTTCCTTCAATGACATGTAATGCCTCAGTACAGTTTGCAGAGAAGCAGCTCCATATCATGATGCTACCACCTCCATGCTTCACTGTTGGAGGGGTATTCTTGGGATCACGCACACAACACTTCTTTCACAAAACATGACCTTCTAAATTATTACCTAAGACTTCTATTTTCATTCTGTGTGACCAGAGTACATTGTTCCAGAAGAGTTCTGATTTGTCTAAATACTTGTGTGCAAATTTTAGAAGCGCATCTCTGTTTTGGTTTTGCTTGAGTAGGCGGAGATTATTGCAATGCAGCTCAGTCCACTGCATATTTTTCTCTTTTGTAACTGTCCACTTGCAGTCCGGTTGTACTAACAAGAATGTTTAAGGCCTCTGCTATGGCTCTGTAGCTTTTTCCATTCGAGTGTTGTTTAAAAATGTTGTCTTTGAGAACTTTAAATATCTCCTTCAACTTCACCATGGTTGCTGCTTGCGTAAAATCTTGCAGTGGCAACATCTTTTATAATAACTCCAGGTGTAATAAGAACATTTTTTTCCAGTATTATTATCTAGATGTTTCATTTTATGTAACCTTTAAACATATATTTTCTTAATATAGCGACTAAGTACTTTTATACCTATCTACTTCACTTTTAAATATCTCTGTTTATGCTTATCAACACATACTTTTCTGTTCTAATGAATACAAGCATACATTCTTGTTGAAGTACAAAGTCAAAAGACATAACTGAAGTACATATATGCACTGGTATAAAATTAAGTAACAAAAGCAAAAGTGTCTGAATACTTTCCCTTCACTGTATGTTCTAAGAAACACTTTCAAAACAGCAGGGATTCATCCGAATATTGATGTGATCACCGCTGCCTCCTGGCCCCTCCCTTTCCTGCCTATTCACTCCTTAAAAGTAGAGGAAACATGGCCTGATGTACTACGAAACGGGATGTCAGCAGGGTTGTAGAGGACCCATTTTAGAGTAGCAGAAGGGACTCAGGACTGCAGACAAAGAAGCTGTGCAAATGTGCCTGAGCATACCCATGGAAACGCCTCCAATGTCCTGTTTAGCTGCTGAGGTCGAATACTGCAGTTGGTGGAGTTCGGTCCATCTTTGGATCCAAAATCCCACTGTTGGCCCTTTTTGATGTTTTTAGGTTCTAAATTACTTACACACACTAGGAGCAATGCTGGGCTAAGAAACTTGTTTTGTTGCCAGAAGGAGTTATGCAAAGTGGATGCCACAGGGTTATACGTAACCATTAGCCCAAATGGAAAACAGAAAGGAATTCGTTCGTTTTTAGTTTTCAAAATACAGTGAGGGTGGGGGGCAAAATGTAATGCAACATTACAGTCTTTTTTCCATTTACTTTTACATTTTAATCTTCTAACATTGTGCTGATATGAACAAGCAACTGAATCCAATTACTTTTCCCTTTGAGGCCAAACTAGAAAGTTAGCTAAACAACAGCAGCTAAAAAAATACAGGCTAATTATCTAATAATCCCTTTCAGGGGGGCCTGCTCACAAGATCACAGCTAAAGCTCGTGTCAGCTCTGAAGCTGTCTGAAGAAGTGGGCATAAAGGCACTATTGACCCTCTGTGTGGCACAGTGTGCTCGCTCTAAAGTTATGGGTGTGTGTCCATCCAGCTAGAGCTGGAATCCTGGCCTGGCTCACCGGAAGTGGACCAGGCCAGGATAAACACTCTGCAGGCTGCCCCATATACAGGACACATAGCCTTGTTGGCACACGGTAAACCTTAGCATGCTAGCATGAGTGCTACATTAGGAATATAACTGCAAATATGGTGTTTTTGTTTATTCAAATTTGGGTAAAGCGTGGCAGATGGCTGGAGGGTTGTGAGTGCTGATGCTTAAATTATGCATAAATCAAATAAAATGTCCTAAACTTCAGGCTTATTCTTAAATTATTAAATAAACTTATTGAAAGTAAAGCGGTATTTGGTAAGTACTAGGACCCAACGTACAAAAATATCAATTTCCAATACCACCTTTATGGAGCCAAATATTCTAAAACTAATAATATTGGCCGACATTATTTTACATGATTAAAACTTGAACAGACTACGAGAGCTGTCATCTTTGAATTATTGAACACGTATAAGTTACACATGAGTTGTAATCAATATATCTTAGAGCCTCAAAAGAAGCCAACTAAACCATTAAATTAAAATGTTATTTGACTGCAGGTTTGAACGCAGTGTAGTACAGTGTGCTACTGCGCAAGTACTGATGGCAGAAACCATAAAAAAGAGAACGGCATCCAGAAGAGCTCCAGTCTTACAGAGATGCCAAGAGCTTTAAGGGTGTTTATCCTGCACAAGGGACAAGATTTGTGGTCCTGGGTCCACATAGTTATCATGCTTCTGGACTGCATTTAAAGGCTCTCAAAAGTGAGCAACAGGATGTTGCTAGCAGTCTCAGTAAAGGCCAGCAAAAAATCTGAAATATATCGGTGGAGCAACAGAACCTACTAAGAAACAAATGTCAATTATGCAGTTATAATAGTGAGGAAGTAAATACTGACCCTTGAAAGGAACAAAAAGAACTGAGGTAACAGCTACTGGAGGTACATGACGATGAGGAGTTATGGGTAATGTAGTTTGTGTGTACTCACTGCTGGCAATGTGGTGACCCTCATCGAGCTGTGAATCGTGCTCGTGGTAAAGGTGCGGCAGGCCAACTGTCCTCACAGCAGGGTCGAGCACCACAGAGCTCTCGCTCACAGTCACCTCGCTGGCCCCAGTCACAGCGTTAGTGGGAGGGCCGCCCAGCGACAGCTCGTAGTCAGGGGGAATATCATCAGAACAGTCTGCATTCGGCTGCGAGTCAACAAGAATGAACGTTAAAACATAGTTTATGTAATGTAGTCGATGATTCCACTTGTTCGTTTTGCAGTTGTTTATACAGATGGTAAAATGATGTTTTTCAAATTGCTTACTATGTGTTTCAAATTTGCTGTGGATACATGGAAAAAGGAAATGCTCCAGGATTTTATAACTCAGATACAGTGATTGACTTTTAACAGCTGCACAATGTCTGGACTGCATTGAGGAGACAAAAAAACAGGATCCGTGACAAAGGAAAGAGCAGCTATTAAAACTATGAACAGTTCTCACAACAGATGTTCAGACAAAATCAGTTAAATTTGAATCTTGGATAAAGGAGTGAAGAAAAGGTTTCAGGAAGGGATTTACACTAAGCTAAATCTCTACTACTGCATATCTTATTAGCATTCTTAAAGTACACTGCTTTGATTTGCCTGACAAACATCTGGCCAAAAATTACTCACATATGCCTGCAGACATTTTGATGAATACATTCACCTTTTGCTACAGTTGTATGCAAACGTTTGAACACCCTTGTGTAAATTACTTGTGTTTCATTTTCTAAGTGAACATAAGTTATCAAATGCTCTACAGGGAACAAATTTAAATACGCTATTTTCATGCAAATTTTAGTGCACAATTTCTATTTAATCGCTGATTTGAACAAATAGTAATAAAATAAATAAAATATAAAATGTGCCATTTTTTTCTATTCAGTATGTTAAATTCAGCAAATAAACTATGTAACTATGCATTTAAATGTGAAGAAGCGGAGGCGGATGTGTTTATTTTCACTTAGAAAATCAACAAAAACATGTAATTTGACCAGGTTTCCCAAACTTTTGCACAAGAGTATATGTTCTTCCTCAATACCAGTGCAGTAAATTAACACAGGATGATCTTAGGGTGCTAGTTGTTTCTCAAAAGAGGAACTGTGTAATCTTGAAAGTGATGAGGCTGTAGAATGGTAAGCTCAAGTTGCTCATCTGCAGGAATTCTACAAAACATCATGTGGTGATGAATGTTTACATTTTTTTAGGAACTGAAAAGAAAACTCAACTAAACCATTTAAATAAAATAAAATGTAACTGTATGGCTGTGAAGGTTTAAATAGAGCCTGGTACAGTGTTACTGTGTATGTACTGACGTACTGAAGCCATAATAAACTACACAATGGCTTTCAGTAGAGCTCCAGTCTTACCGGGATGCCGAGAGCTTTAAGGATGTTCATCTTGCACATGGGACAGGTTCTGTGGTCCTGCAGCCATGGGTCCACACAGTTCTTATGGAAGACATGCCTAAGAAACACAGCAGTCTTAGAATGCTATAATACAGCAGTAAATCTAATACTTGTTAATACTGCCATCCTGATGCCACTGACCTCACCTTGACAGTCAAGCTTCTGTACGTAACAATTACATTCTGAATTTTCAAGAATTGTGATCTCATGACATGGGGACATGGGGACATCTATACTATAACATTCTTTTTATTTGAGAAGAAGGAAGTGCTCTGTGATTATTTTACCATACAAATAAAACCACTGAAATGTACAAGATTTGTTCCAAAATGCTGTATGTAAGAAGAGCTGAATAAGTCAACCAGGATTACACTGACATGCTTGATTCTTTGAAGCTTACCGGCACGGCAATATCCTCACTACATCATTGGGCTTGTAGCCTTCGATGCACACGGCGCAGTTGTCAAAATCTGACTCTGTTTCCTAGAAATAAGAGCCACAGAGGCAATGTTATGAGCACGTGGGTGTGTGTCTATGTGTATGTGTCTGAGTGTGTTTTTGCTAATGGAGATTTCCTAGAAAAAGAGCAGACAGGGACAGCTCTGCAGTAAAAGGCATGAAGCATGTCTAATAAGAATGAACTGCACACAGGCGGTGGCTACAGCTCTTATGGCAGGGAGAACAGACAGAGGATAGGCTACTCAGGCAACCAGTCACCTTTTGAGGAATACTGTCCCTTTAGCCCACACATAGTTGAGCAGACAAGACACTGCGTTTGGGTGTCTAGTTCTGACCAGGAGTTACGAGAATAACACAGCTAACAAGTAATGGATACAGCATCAATTAGTATTGTGCAAACTACATAGCTAAATCATCAGATTTAAACTTTAAACTACGTCAAGGTATTAAGTTTTTAAGCAGAGTTCCTTATGTGGTGTCTGACACTGTTTGACATACTATTATCTATGAAAATGGACAAAATTCAGACTTCCACGTGGCTGCTACTGCTGTTTTTAGCTACAACTTACTTTTTATATAGACAGGTTTGAGGTCTGTGATGATTTAGGATGCAGTTTACACCATGTTAATTGGCTTTCTTCAGTTGGCCATTACTCATTAGCCACATTAGTCTTGTGTCTCCAATGTAAAACTAAAAAATAAACTCCAGAACAAAGCCAATCTTTGTTAATTAACAACATAACAAGATACCAGTAGTTGTTCCCTGTACAAAATTCCTTAAGATTTTCCTCTAGGCTCCTTCTCCTGTCTAGGCCACAGCTCTTCACAGAGTAGCGTTTCTCCTGTCTAATGCACTGAATGCATTTCATGAAGACAATGCTAATTCGCTGAAGAATTAAATCAGAGGCACAGAGCTGAAGTCAAGAGGACTGGGGTCTAGGACATGCCTTGTACAACAAAAAAAAGAAGGTAGCAGCTTGGTAAAATAATTTCTATTTTTTTTTTTTTGAGTATGATGCAACATAACTGTCTAATATACAGCACTATGCAAAAGTCAGAGACCACCATTCATTTATTTAACATCCCATCAAAAAGGCCATTAAATGTTAATTATTTTTTTGGTAGCAGGAAAAAAGCAGAAAACATTAATTTAAAATAAAATTACACAGAAGCCTCATCAACTAAATATAATATCACAGTTTTCAGTATTCAGTGTGTCCACACTTTGTGTTTATTCAGTTATTTTCTGGGAGACTTGCTGTCTCTTTAAAGAAATCTGCAGGGATATTTTTCCAAACCTCCAAAGTCTCAGATGTCCAGTTTCAGTGTTCTAGTACAAACGTTTTACTTTTTTGTCTATTTCCTTTCCTCAGTAACAGCTTCTTGGCAGCTACACATCCTTTCAGACCCATAGCGCTGAGTTGTCTTCTCCCAGTGAGAATGGACAGAAACACCTGCAGATTTGCTCGGATCTGAAGACTGGTGCTTGATTTTTTTTCCTTTCTCTAAAAGATGAAAGCGTTAAGTACTGTTTATCTGATGGTGACAGTTTGGGTGGTCTATCAGTTCTTGCACGGTTGTTAGGAGCTCCATTTTCTCTATATCTTTAAATCATTTTTTAACTCCAGGTTTGGAAACTCCAATTTTTCACTTTTTTTCCTTTAACTTTCTCCTTCTTTATGCAGGTGGATTATCTTATATCTAATCTCTTCACATATATCTTCTGTATCTCACGCTTTGCTGTACTGGTTTTAGCTGCACATGAGAAATAAACTTCTAAGGCAGCAAAGCTGAGTTTAGGTAGTAGCTTGTGTGAAAGTTAGTGTCTCTTTGAAAGGGAACATAATGTTAGTGCCAACATGGGGAACAGCTTTTGTTGGGAGGACAGATGGTTTTAAGATTAGAAGGTTGGAAAAGTGAATGTGGCAGTATGCTGTACAAAAGTGGACAAATAAAATACTGTTAGATTTGATACATTTCGTGCTGGAGGCTTTTGTGTAAACATCTGGTAAACATAAGTGTTCTGCCTTTTGAAAAACATGGCAAAAATGAATAGCTTGCACTTAATGGCTGTGTTGACTGGAAACTGAATAAAAGAGAGGGTGGTCTCTGCCCGTTGCACACTATTGTACAGCTCCAAAGCAGCAAAAAGCAGCATACTGGCTGAAAAAATATAAAGTGCAGATGATAAGTAATTAACAGACAACCTTGTCCCCCTTCCTGATAGTCCGCACTTGAAGCTTGCTGATGGCCTTCTTTGCAGCATCCCCCAGTCGCCTCTGAAAAAGACAAAAACACTACATGAGCCCCAGAACATTCAGCATTCAGCATGTTTCACTGTGGTGAAACCACCTATGTTCCTATGAGAGAAAGTCCAAAGCAGAGGTGCTGGAAGATCACAGCATGACACTGGGCTAACCTACCTGACTGAACACATCAGTTAATTATCAGGTGTGTTAGAGCTTGCAAAACACCAAACCCTGCAGTACTGCAGTCCTCTGGGACTTGAGTTGACACTGCTGATCTATGTTTTAAGCTGCACAGAGGTCTAAAAATACTACTGGTACAGATGACTGAACAGTTTGTGTTGTAAATAAATGCAAAGTGAACCAGGAAAGCATTTGTGCCTACAAACATTATCAGCACCACCTCCCACTACACTAGTGAAAGTATATCACTGCTGTCACAGGAAAACCTCACAAGTCCATTGGTATCTTGCTTTACGCCATTCTATAATGCCAGGTGCGCTTTACATTGAGTGAATAATTTAAGGTGAATGGACCAATGGGAGTGGTCCCAAATAACTTAATCTTGTAGCATTAACAAACATCAAGATAAGATTTTTTTTCTTTTCCTACAAAATGAACAATTTAAGAGGTGCAAGGTTTTGACTAATTTTGATATTTAAGTATTCATAACGGTTAATGAATGGATTGCCGTGGCATAAGGTGACACCAATCACCCACACCCACAACTTGTTAAATAAATTACTTTATCTATAAGTCTTACATCACATATATCTTCTAAGTATTCCATCTGAAGTTTTCAAAGAAGACTTCAGACGCTTCAGAAGGCTTTAGTTTTTATTGCATGCAAAGTGCATTCAGCCTGGGCATTAGGCTCTGCACCCAAATGCAATACAATGTTCCATATTTTTATACAGTTTTCAGAGAAGGGGTATTCCTTTCTCTTTCTCTCGATGTATCATAACCTGTTTTGCCCATCATTAAACCAAAAATTTATCACTTTGGACCCAATTAAATTCGCCCATTAAAAAGGTCTAGTCTTTTTCGGGGCAAGTGCCAATGTTAGTTTGTCTGAAAAATATATTTTCTTTGTTTCTGGACCTGGCTAACATCAGCTAGAGTCTGGACCTAGTTAACATCAGCTAGAGTCTGGACCTAGCTAACATCAGCTAGAAAAGTTAGAAAAAAAGCTGCACCTCTTCCTTCTTAGCTGTGTCCTTAATGCAACTCCGTGGGAACACACTCATGTTAAGGCAATCGTGGTGTGTAGTAGCAAAGTGTAACATAATACACTCATTTACTCGCAAATACATAAAACACAAAATTGCTGTGTTGGTCCGTACACAATGAAACCCAAATAGTGATTTCAACACAGAAATATAAGCACATTGAATGGTTAAACGAGTACCCGTGCACACCCCTAGTGTGTACCTGGTTGCGATCTCGCGCGTTGGCGTAGCGGAACCGCTGGATGTAGTAAAAGACAAGCCAGGCCAGTGAGATGATCATGAGCACAATGAAGGAGATGGAGACGAAGACCACGGAGGTGCGGCTCACATACTTCTGGAGGTTGCGTGTGCCAATAGTGATGTGCATGATCACGCTCACGTTCTTCTCAAGCAGGGCCGCAATCTCCCGCCCTTTCGGCTCTGGGATCATGATGGCCACTACGTCTCCCGTTCCTGAGGGCCAAAAGGATAGAAGGGTCATATCAAATGGATATGCAGTTACGATGCCCTGGGGTGTGAGCACTGGGGTAGGAAAGCAGAAATATTTGTTTTTATTACACAGCATACTGGACTTAAAATAAAAGCAAATATACAGCAAGTGCTTTTATGTTTTAGAGCTTATGATTTGTTCAGCAACGGAGCAGCAAAGCCATGAAAAACATTTGACAAAACTGTTCCCAGATACTTAATGCATACTCGTGTTTAATGTGCATTTACTTTCAGAAAATTCAATCGTAGCCTTGAATGAAGTTCTGTCCTTCATTAAAAAAGTACAAAAAGACAATAAGTAACATGTTTGCAGATTTAAAAAGATTGTTACCTTTGCATATGTGAAACCTTGATATGAGTGTGGGAAAATGTGCCAAATCACCAGAAAAACTACTCCCTTAATGCTACTACATTTCCCATGATTACTAGAGGACATTAGTCACTATCAGATGAAGCAGTCTGTAGTTTTGCTGGTCTGTAGCAGCTGAAGTAGCTTGTCTGTGATGATCCTGCTGAGGTAAAAATAGTTCACATCAGGAGAGCTCTGTGTGCAACAATGAATAATTAGCGTCATACACAGTGACAGCACTGGCGCTAGCATGGCAGAGAGAGAGCCGGGATGAGCAAACAAAAGCCCTGCTGCTTGGCCTGATCAATCTCTATGGCAACAGCATCTCCTGCCAACTGCCAATCAGGTCACACCTCAGCTGACTTTCAGAACATTCGATTGTAACGTGAGTTTCGTCCAGGGTGGCCGGATCAGACCATATGCCTTACCATGGCAGTCCTTGTCTCACACTAGAGATGCATTAAAGAAACAGTTCAGCAAAAAATCTACTTTACATGATTTTCCACCCTTAATGCAGTTAATCAGCCAAGACACGTTTAGTGTCCAAGATTTATGTCTTTATTTTTAGAACTGGGGCTGCCAGGCTAACGGTGCCAACAAAAGCTGGAAGTAAACAGTCACCAAAACTATATCCACAAATAAAAAGAAGTTAACTGGTGGTCACTGACGGAGTCACTAGTTTCTTCATGTATATTCTAGCTCAAACACACACACAGTTGAGGCTCATCTGTGCAGAAAAGCTGGTCCTCAAAGAGGTAATTGCACAATGTATTGATTTTTTTCAGTACACTTGCTTAGCCTTTCTATTTTATACAATATAGACTTGACTTACAACCTAGATGCGGTTTGAGTGGGTTGGAAAGTATTGGTGGAAATAGTATGGAAGACTTTTCACTTTTAGTGTTAGTTAGGAACATGTCTTGGCTCATCGACTGCCTTCAGGATAAGGGGCATTTAAGTACATTTGAATGTTTGCCAACCTACTGCTGTAAACTACTTTTAAACATTAATACATTGATAGTCATTGTGAGTTTTCAAAACTCCCTATGTATGGCAACTATCAACTGCAATCAAACTTTATACACACTTCTAGCCCTCAAGAGCAAATTCGGCCCTGCGTTTCCAAAACACAGTCAGTTAAATGGACAATTTTTACAATTTTCACAAGCGCAGTCCGCAAGAGCAGTGTCCACTCTGCATAGAGGCTCCAGTCAATTACCAAAACACCATTTACTCTGGATTATGTGCAAGCACTGTGAAGCATTACACCATGAATTAGGTCTTTGTATCAAATTGGCTGATGCACTCTGTAGGCTCCATGCAAAACAGAGGCAACTGTTCCAACTATGTGCTTGCCTCCTATGTAACGTAGTACTCAGCCCCCCAAGGATCACAGGAGTGCAACTGCTGCAAAGCTGTAAAAACAGCAACATAAAACTCTCCAGAGCAAAAAAAGCTCTACCTTTCGCTCCACTGCAGCTAAAAATAGGCGCACACTATTTCAGTTCTTTGACTCCAACTCAGTGGAAAGTCCTGACAGGCCTGTCACCTCGTCTCTGCCTCGGCGCATCAATCAGAGCTCTCTCATTCAGCCTCTTCAGCAGGCTGAGCAGATCTGGACCTCTTCCAGATCGGAAGCAGACATTGAGGAGTCCCCGAAGAGAAATGTAAGCACTTCCTACAGCCTTCTATGAGCAGAATTCAATCTCTCACTAGGGGAAGCTCCAAATAGCTGGCCGCCGAGGGGAGAATCGATAACACTGGGGAGACACTTCTGAGGATTTGGAGCTCAGCCATATCTGAGAACAGGGCAGCCATGTTTAAATTAAGCCTTTCCTTGTGGAGGCCAGAGCAGAATGACCCAACAAACACCAACACAACAACACCGGCAGCTGATTTAGAGCACCTAGGGAAAAAAAATGATAAAACAAAATTAAACCTTTGTAAATGGGAAGAACATTCTAAAACTGCGTAAATAGGGGAACATTCTAGAACAGATTAAATGGGGAGAACACTGTAAAAACTAGAACAGTGTGAATGGACAGAACATTCTAAAAAAAAGTATAAATGAGGGAACCGTTCTAGAACAGCATTAATGGGGGGGCATTCAATGGTGTAGACATGATGTATGAAAGAGCATGATGTAGATACATGCTAGAACAGTCTGAATGAGTAAGAACATTCTAGAACAGGCCTCCAACTCTAGACCTTGAATCTAGGCTCTGGCCCTGGATTTTGTGATTACTGGTGACATGTCCTGTCTTCCTTGGTTACTGTTGCTATGTCCATCAAACTTTCAGCTCGACCACCTAGTGGCATCTGTAGCGCTTGTGCAAACAGACCGAAACATTCAGCAGCACAACAAAATTTAGACACACACAAAGGAGAACATTTGAAATAAAAAACACACTATTATTTAAAAACAAACTTGCTATAAAAGATTTACAGCGCAGAATTTTTGATTTATGAGAACTGACAAAATATAAATGTAGGCTAAATTAAAGTGAAAAGGATTCTTTAAACCATGTTTATATTAATCAGTGCAGAAAAATCGAATAGCCTCTTAGCAATAAAGTGCTAGTTTTTCCACGTCTAATAAGGAGGAGCACTGGAGCCTAAGCCTGTCAGTTAGATTTAGAAAACTAATGAGTCAATATACGACTGTATTAATATTCATCTTTACACATAATGCTTTGATTGCAAAAAAAAGCAAGATGCCAAGTACTATTTTAAGAAAAGCTTACTTACTTAAAATTGCTCCGTAATATTATTTATCATTAGATATCATTACATTAAATGTTAGCAAATACAGCAACACAGATAACGCTTTGATTACCTTAGAGCAAACACAACCATCTCCATAATTTCAACACAAACTAGCTAGCTAAATAAAATAGCTAACTCTGCCAGCTGCCCTGCTGCACGACAACATGACGACTTCATCCATATCTAGCTAGTAAAAGACATACACTGCTACCTAGGGTACCAGCCTTTACTGCTAATGCCATTAAGGACAATTAAGGAAGAGGATAGCATAATTATGTTAACAAAAGAGCTTAAACATCACTGGTAAAAATGTTTGCTATGGATAATTATAGCAGTTGTTATCATTTAATTGCCAGGCCTACTCTGCTTTATGACTATCATCCCACAACCATTAGGTGAGAGACGCAGAGCAGATGGACCAAGAGGTGGCACCTTGTTACCCTGACAACCCTCTGCTTGTAGATGGACACAAGAATCTTGTATCAGGTGCTAGTTTGGAGGCTATAAATATCTACAGGCGCTCTATGGGAGACCAAATAGAAACACAACAAAAGCCAGCATTATCATGCTGTGTCTTTTATGCCTTTACGTAACGTTTGCCCTCTAGATGAACAACTACTGCATGTCTCTGAACACGGAGAGACCAGTGTAAAAGGGACAAACAGCAACTAGTGGAAACCAAAGTGATGGAGTACTTATAGAAAAGTTTCAAAATAAAAAGTGCTAGGTGAAGAGAAACCAATTTTTATTGGGTGCAGAGACATAAATCTATAGCATTATCTGATAAAGAGCGCACTGTCCCTGCCTGTAGTAGAGGTACATACTTTGCAATAGAACACCTTGTGATATATACCAGCAAAGGACTGAAGCTCAGTCAGACGTGGCTTTATTTAAAAATTTTCTGTAGGGAAAACGTGCAATAAGCCTGAAACAAGCCTAATTAAGGTTCTATGTAAAACCAGCTTTCTTAGGATATAATGAGAAACATGGAGTGCAACAAAATATTCAACTATAGGTCCAGACAATTATTCTACTCAAGTCATGTGTATGGAAAAGTTCAAAAAGAAGTCACCACCACCACAGTTATCTCAAGAAGGCCCTTGTCTCCCTCAATTTCCAGGTGACAATAGCATTTGGTCAAGTCACAGCAATTTAATCTGCCCTCCCATATGGTCAAGGTGAATGTGTTTCCAACAGAAGTCAGTCACTGCAGAACACAAGATGTGTTGAGGCAACCATTTCTGCACCAATACTCAGGTCAATGACTGTGATGACCTTTCACGCATAAATAAGTTTATATGCGCTGAACTTTCAATGGTCATTCAAGTGACAGGAATGCAGCCTCCAACTCAACTCCGAGTGTCCTTGTGTTTATGCAGTCCTTCCTTCACTTTGTAAAGCTGCTTTGGCCCACGCTGTCTTGGTGTTAATGCATTAGGGTCTCACAGTCTAAGCCTTAAGCCGTATACTTCTCACTCATTAGACAAACTACAGCCATCTGCGTAGGGGGATTGCTGGTCCTCTAATTTGCATGAGTGAATTACTAATTTATATAGATAGAAAAACATGTAAAGAACAACAAAAAAGTTAGAACACAATAACATGGATTATACTGGGGCTGTTCCCTCCAAGCTGATGCAAGCCAGATCTGACTAGCACCAGAGAGTCCGGCGGGTTTTGTGTCAATATGGTGAAAAAACGAATACTCAGACAAGGTCAGGACATTGTGTATTACAGCTGAAACCACTGATACTTAGTACATTCATATTTCTGCAAACTGAAGTCTGCACCATGTTGCATGTGAACCTTGTCCATTGAACAGAATGTGTTATTCAAAGAGACCTGTGGT